TTTTATTTCAACGACTTGGTCATATTTTACAGGTAGGCAATATTTTATATACTTTTTTAATTATGCTTTTATTGTACATTTGTTTTATACTTGATGATCTCAGGGTTAATGTGTTCAAATTTAATATGTACATTTTTGTAGCAAATTGATGTAGGCTAGTACTTTATGTTATTTTAATTTCTTTGTTCTTGTTAGATTTAGCCATTTACGTAGATCCAAGTGAATGTGGTTGACATGCTTAGTTAAATGAATTGAGATCTACAAAAGTTAACATGTAACGATAGAAATTTATCTTATTTTTATATCTAAAATTATTTTTCTTAAGTTTCTCGGTAAAGCTTATTTAGCAATTTAACAAAATTATGTATACAGCACTTTTCCGGAAGTTTCAATGTCACATGATCAGTTCTAAATTTACTCTCAGCTTTGTTTACATGAGTTCGCTTCCGCCCAAAGTGAAAATGTCTCGACATAAGAAAAACATTGTTCAACTCACTCAATAACTTTGATAACTTTAATTGAATGAAGATGTAAGTTTATAACTTTGCATATTTTGATTATAACTAATACAGAAATTATCATCATTGCACACTTTCTTATTTTTGATATACCTTTTTATGTCAATACATGTGCAGTGATGTTGTGTATGTTTTTATTAGACATTTGTATACCCTTTTGTTTGTTTCAATTTCATAAGTGAAAGTCCAGGTTAAATTCCAATTATATCTTTATTAAAGCTAGTATCTTTTGAATGAAATTATGAAAATAAATTAACTATATATAATTTGAGATTATGCAAATGAGACCCTATGTTTATGTCTGCTCCTTCATAACTTGTGTACCTCATCATGGCTAAGTAAAGTTCTCTACCATGCAAGTTAATTTTCCCCATCTTATTTGTAATTATTCAAACAAATTCCCCTTTTATTTGTTCATTAATTGTGTAATATTTGTGCACATGTAAATCATAAGGTTGTTTTTATAATGTGGTCATTGAATAATTTTTATTATCTGTTGCATTATTTCCAATTGTGCAAAGACTCATTGTTTCTAATCTTGTGTTTTATTATGTCATGTTATATTATGCAATGCTACACTTTTGCTGGACACTTCAAAAATAAAAGACGTATATTTTATTTCAACGACTTGGTCATATTTTACAGGTTTTAACATCACCCCAAATTCCATTATGATAGTAATATCATTTTTATTCCTACTATTTTTCGAACTTATGCCTCTTCAAATTTCTCTCTCAGATGTAAAAGAAGCAGATCTTATCCCTGTTGACATGGTTCTTGGTGAACTGCTCTGACTGATGTTTTTCGTTAATTTTTCCATACACAATCACCTCAACTATGAATTTTTTTAACTTTGCAATCTTTCGGGCCTTATTTACCAAAGCTCGAACAGTGTGAAACCTTAGAAAACATTCATGATAATAATATGACACGAACAGATTTTCATAGTTGTTGAAATTGAGAAGAAATCGATAATAAACATAGAAAAGTCCTGGCATAATTCCAAGTGTTGTATTAATGTACTAATTAATAACTTGCCGAGACGCGAAATTGTTACAATTGACACACAGACAGTAACGCGCCGAATGAGCTTTGACTGAAAACTTGACTAGAAATCGGGTAATATACATGACTTATTCATCCTAAGAGATTAAAAAAAATGGCGAAGATTGTGTTAAGAAATATGTAAATTGTTCATTTATTTTTTTTCTCTTTTAAGACTGTGGAATCCCAAAGATACAAAATACCACATTTGATGTACAGGATGGGGACGGGATAGGAATCTATAAACAAATGCATATTAAATGCACCGATCCGTTCGTACAAAGAGGTTCCGGAAGGATTTTGTGTCTTACAAATGGCACCTGGAAAACAGATCTGGTTTGCAAAGGTTGATCTCTTCGTTATTATTTTTTTGTTTTTGTAGATTTGACCAAGGAGGAAGAGGATTTAAATAATTTTTCGTACGTCACCTGACAAGTTACACTAATTGGCTATAAAATTATATAAGCATAATCGATCAAAAATTAATAATCAACAGCACATTTACATTAAGTTAATTAAAACATTCGAAACATTTTCCAAACACAGGAGATATCAAATAACTGACAAGATTGATCTAGTAATGAATATTTACATGTAATTTGCATGTCATAAACCTGATCAATAGAATTTTGCTACAGAAAATTAGCTATATGAACATTTTTATAGAATTTATTTCAGAGTTTCTAAGTTTTTTGAGTGGAAAGATTAGGAAACCTTTTTTTATATGACAGGAAGCCACTTCTATTTGCATATTTGATGGATCTCAAAACACCCTTAGAAAAATCTTAACATATTGAAATGTATATATTCTCAGTAGATATTTGAAGTGTAATTTTCTTAATCCAAAGCAAGCAATTCGTTAGTATGGAAAAAGCGCCATATGAATGGCAACGTCGCGTTAACATACTTCATACGATGAACATTTAACTGCGATTTGCGCAAACATTACTGAAATGTAAATGAAACATAAACGACTAGAAGAAAAATCGTCACGTACTCTATCAGTTTCAAATATACAATTTTGGATTTTTCAAAATCGCTTTAAGGCTGTATTAGTGTTTACTTCTGAAAACATAGTGATATCTAAAAGAAAGAGATTCCGTTAATTAGGAATATTTCGGGTTGTCCTTCAGATGCAAAATACTTTAATATATGTGTCAAAAGGTTTTACTATCGCCACATATAAATTTGTTCTTATTTTAACCAAGGCAAACGGTATTAGGGGTTATTATAGATTTTTTCATACGTCAACATTCATTATTGGCATGATTAATTTTAGTGGTTATTGTAAAAAAAATTAATATATTTTCAGACACAACAGAATTTGTGATTTATTTATTAGCTTTCAAGTCTAATGAGGGGGAGGGGATAAGGGGTCAGAATAATTCCGGGGTACTTCGTAATTTTTATTACCCATCCAACACATGTCTTAAACATTACATTGTACGACAATTTACCAGGAATACTTTGTAGAATGATGGAAAGGAACCGTGAAGTGTAAATACCTTATCTATGCTTATCTCACAGTTGTCATTTGATTCAAAATATTTTGCTTTAGTTAAAAAGAAAAAAAAATACCTATAAAACACAATTCACGAAGTGGGATTGACAGATTTGAAAATATATACCATGTAAATGGAACACAGTGGTAGAGAAAAGGAAACCAGGTTTATGTATTTCTTGTCCTACTTAAAAGATTTTTTCAACGAATTGCTTGCCGTTCTGGATGGCTATGTGAGTCTGGTACTAAATGTTTCAAAAGCATTGATCCAAGATCTGATTTGTATTTTGTATATCAGTGTATTTTGTTTTAATACAGTTATATAGCGAAATAGTGTACGGACGTGTCACCCATAAGCAAGCAAGAAATCACCTGCACAAAATGTTGGGGAAAAAAATAATAATAAAAAGAAGAGACAGTAAAATCACTATAAGGTCTTCCGTGACGACGGAAGACCTTAATTATATAAAATGCAAAATATATTTTTGTCAACATGTAGCTCACAGTAAACGTTTGTTAGATTGGTTCAATTTTTTTCGAACAAGTTCTCAGGAGCCACTTGTATGAAGAATATGTAATTCAGCTAATTATCTGAAAGTGAATATCTGCACTACAAATATAGGTCAAGTATGTACAATTTGTGGTTTTTTAATCTTACCTGTAGAAATTTTTTGTGATCTGAGTAAACTTTGTCCTTCAAATATACGCAAAGTCAGGTTCTTTACATCAATATCAGTAATGAATATTATTTAAATCGTAAAGATGAAGTATTCAAAGTATATTTGGTTATATGTCTTATATAATGAGATGTAAGAGATTTAAAAGATCATATTTTTCTTTCCTCATCATAATTGTACAACTTTAAATAGAAATTGTATGTAAACTGAGTTTGAAATCTAGCAGGGACTATATTTTTGGCGGAACGGCGGCGTATGAAAATATCTCCTTTTCTGCTTCTCAAAATTACTATAGAACAATGAATTTAGTTTAAATTTTTAAACAATCAAAGACTAAAAGAAAATTTCAAATGTAAGTAAAATAAAACTAATGGACTGAAGTTTTAAAATGTATCAAATTAATATGATTTCCAAACAAACTACAATTTTGTTAACTTTTAAATGCTTTCGATCTAAGTACAGATTTGAGCCAAAATCCGTAAAAAGTGTTCTTTCTCTCTTAGTAAACGGTCAAAACTTTTTGTTTTTGTATCAATTTGTATCTTTATATGACTACTTAACCATATGTGAAAATGAGAAAAATTTAAATATACGAAGCATATAAAAATAACTAATATATCCTAAATATCTCATAAAAATAGAGGAAATTCGCATTAGCCAATATCTATGTTAGTTAAATTATTTATGTTAATTTGGTAGTATCATCTGATAGATCCTATATGGTAATATCTTTTTATGCAAAAAGGAAAACATTTAATGTTTTGAAATTGCATGATTGGCAACAGTATTCTTTTATTCCTAAGGTCAAGGAAAAAGATAATGACCTTGACCTTGCTTTTAAAATAAAACGGTCAAATTTAATCTAATTGATACCGTTACTTAATGATAATGTCTTCTTTAATCTATGAAAATGTCATTAATTTTTAAATACAAGAAATAAGAAGAAGAGAAGAATCCCTCCTTGATGGATTAAAAATAGCTTTTAAGAGAGTAAGATATCCTATTTTGTAGTTCTCAATGAATCCGATCTTGTAAATACTTGCACAGTAGCTCCTTTTAAAAACTTTGTTGAAACCTATGTTTGAGATAGTGTTTTATTTTTCCTTATGATGCAATTCTCCTCGCAAATTCCAAATTATATTATTTATTTCAGTTGCAGCTGATTGTAAGGACCTCCATGAAAATGGTCACACTAATTCCGGTGTGTATGTAATTTATCCCTTTGGTACCAGCTCACGTCCTGCCAAAGTTTACTGTGATATGGATACAATGGATGGTGGATGGACGGTATGTTATTTAATGACTAATCTTAAACATTGGCGTATGAAATAAACGATGTATGTTGGAATCTGTGTTAAATGGATTGGAAAGAGAGGTAATACATATAATCTAAGTTTGTTATGAGAGAATATTTCAATGCATTAATAAAATATTCGTACAATAATATTTTTAAAAAAATATCTTTTGAAGGCAATACAAAAACGAGTGGATGGATCCCTAAGCTTTGACAGGACGTGGACTGAATATAAGAATGGATTTGGTGACCCGGAACAGAATATCTGGATCGGTAAATATAGATTGTATTAAGAGCGTATTAGTGAACGTATTAGCAAAGATCATAACATTACTTGAACTGTCTTCCATATTAATAATAATTGACCGAACTAAAAACATATACATTCAAAGTTGTAATGGATTAGGTTGTAAATGATATAGCTTTAAATTTAAAAAAAATGATTCTTCCAAACACATTTTTTATTTAAAAAAAAAATTATGGTATTACACTCTTGTTAATTGGTTAATACAGGAAATGACATAATCCATCAATTAACAAAGGGAAACAACTCATCCCTCTATGTTTCCATCATGCTTGTGAACGGTAGCAGACTATATGAGCTGTACGATCAGTTCTCAGTTTCCCATGAAGCAGAAAAGTATCAACTGTATCTTGCTGGGAACGCTGAGGGGACTTTAGGTACGTGACAGAAGGAATGTAAACTTAAAAAAAATATTGCAGTATGGTAGAGTGTTAAATCCACATACATCGTAAATGTGATAATGAAATCATATTTTAATTTTGTCTGTAAAATCAAACTTATATTATGGAAATTCTAATTTTTATTGTACGTTTGAATGGTACCTTACGACTATAAATGGTAATAATAATACACCGGGAAGTTAAATTGATGAAACTAATACTAAGTGTGGTATCCAAAAGGGATGACATGCCGAAGATTTGGAAAAAGAAGACGAAAAGGCAAAAATAGGGAAACATAAAATATTACATCTTTGCCTCTATAATTCCACCAGAATAAGGATTAACATTGCACTCCTGCAATTAAAATGGTAGGCCGTTCTGGTATTGTGCATACGCTCATTGTGACCGTTTTGATGTCGTATCCGAGAGAACCGTGTCTTTCACTTTTAAAGCAGACGCTTTGCAAACGACATCTCTGGCATATCCTTGAGGAAATTAAGTGTCGTTTTTAATTGCTGAACAGTAATTTCTTCATTTGCTTTTGAAAAGATTTTAGCATTTGTTAAACAAGGAATACAGGGATTATAGTAAGATGCAGGAACAATTTGATAACATGAATGAAAGCAAAATATTTATCAAATTTGATAGGAAATGTTTAAATGTCATGATTCATTTTGTTGACACAAGGAAGATACAAATTCAAGGGTTGATATCTAAAAATGGTCAAATGTAAAAAAAATCGAGATACTTATAACTATCTTTACTGTATAAAACTGCGAATTTACTATTTTATATAAACCTTTACTCTTTCATATCCAATAAATTTACATGCAAATGTTTTTGGAAATAAACTAAATAGAAAAAAAATGTATTAGCCGAAAACATATTGGGGTAAGGGGTCCTGTTGGGAATACCACAGTTTCATTATAAGATTATATATAAACTTGCGTAATAGTTTTGTTTTCCTTTTTGTCTTTAGGTGATGGTATGTTTAACACTGGCTATTATAATATTAATCAGCTGTCAGGGATGTACTTTTCCACCCTAGACAGGGACAACGACAGGAATACAAAAATTAACTGTGCCGTTAAGTATAAAGGAGGCTGGTGGTTTAACGCTTGTTACACTGCCTTCCTTAATGGTGCCTGGCCCCCGGATTATTGGACCAATCCTTGGTATCCTACAGTTAAAACTGGATTATCAGTGAAGGAGACGAAAATGATGATCCGACGTCAATAGTTAACTAATGATTTCGAAAACCTTCAACTTCTCCATAATTAAATGAACAATTTATAGAATATTTGTTTCATTTATTCCGAGGTCGATTTAATTCGTAATTTTAGGAATAGACGATACACATACATGTATATATTTCTTGTATAGTATATATATATTTCGTACTGTTGTAATTTAGTAACGTTCTAGCTCACTTGAACTATTGTACAAATGAGCTTTTCGGATTAGTATTTCTCCGTCGTCCATCTAACATCTGTTCACATTTTAGATATCTCTAGAAATTAAACTTGAAAAAAGATATCCTTTGATGAAGGGAATTCAAGTTAATTCAAATGGCCAGCATCCCTCTTATGCTTAGAATGATAATTGAGAAAAGGTGCTTTTAATAATTGCCTTTCTTAAGAACCACTTGATATCAGAATACAAAACTTTTGTGACAGTATTTTTCATGAATGTAACTTTAAAGATTGGAGCTACCAATTCTGGATTCATTGATAGAGAAAAAGTTATATTTGTATAGGATCTTGAAGAGGTTTGGCAATTAATATTTTAAATTTGATACGGTGCACGCAATAATTTGCTTTTTTCCTGAAATAGTAAAAATCGTGGGAGAAAACATTTCAGGCCTATCATTCGACAAGGTATCAGCAAAGTATTCTTGGTAAAGAGCAATACACAGTAAAATGTGCCACGTACGTATCACATACGTTAAACGTATGTGATACATACGTGACTTCACGTACGTATCACATGAAAAAAGCACCACGTACGTTAAACATACGTTTTCACACGTATGAATATCATGCGTGACACGTACGTTACACATATGTATTGACTACCATACGTTACACACATGTTGCACACGTACGTTATTCATACGGTTCACGTATGAATAACGTACGTGCAACGTGTGTGTAACGTATGTTTTGAGAAACATGCGTTTAACATGGTTTGTATACACTGCTCATATGATAAATGTATAAGTACCATACATCTGTCAAACCATGGTTAAACATATGTTTTGAACATTCTTTTTCACATATTGTAAACATATGTGAAACAAAAATAATGTGCAATTAAATGATTCATTTCATGCATTTGACATAATTTTCTTCAAGGGATTATTTTCTTTTCATCTGTTGAATGATTCACATTTTGAAGGTACATATCTGGATATCCTTCACCTCAAATTTCCTGATCCTAATTGCTCTTTAGGCAATCACAACAAAAGACATATTCAAATTTAGGCCAAATTTAATGTTGAGATTTTAACATCAATTCATTCTTCTACAATTCCTTTCATCTGTAAAGAAAAAGAAAATATTAAATGAATTTGCATATGGAAAAACACAGTTTTTTTCTGAACATTATTATTTTCCACATATAACTCTTGGTTGATTCCCTTTAGAACTAAACAAGAACTGTCCAAAATGGACAAATACCCCCCACTGAGTTTTTCAGAGAAGATGCCAAGTCACTAATACTAGTATTTGAGGATTTAAGAGGTATTCACATTTTGTTTAAACATTAAGAGTTTTCAAGTATTTCTCTGTTGGAAAGTATGGATGCATTATTTATCCATTTTTTCTACAGTGACTATATAGGTCAGGATCATGACACATGTACCCTCAGGTCATAAACAATCTTTGTGTGAAGTGGATACTCCCAACATCCAAAATTATTCTCCATAGGAAAGATACAGACCGAACACGAATTATGAATTTTTTCTGTCAGTGACCATGAACTTGTCCAAATGACCTTGGGTCAAAGTCATGACAAACCATCAGGTCATAAACAATCTTTGTGTAAAATGGGAGCTCACCAAGTTTATCCATAAGAAAGATATGGACCAGACACGAATTATGAATTTTTTCTGTCAGTGACCTTGAACTTGTCCAAATGACCTTGGGTCAAGGTGATGACACACCCTCAGGCCATAAGCAATATTTGTGCAAAATGAGAGCTTGCCAAGTTTAACCGTAAGAAATATATGGACTGGACACAAATTATGAACTTTTTCTTCCAGTGACCTTGAACTTGCCCAAATGACCTTGGCCATGGGTCAGGGTCATTACACACCCTCAGGTCATGAATAATCTTTGTGTGAAGTAGTAGATTCTAATGTTCCTCCGTAAGAAATATATGGACCAGACATGTTTGCACAGACAGACAAACAGACATATGAACAAGGTGATTCCTACATATTCCCCCAAACTTTGTTTGCAGGGGGATACTAATAGTGTCGAATAACTACAGTTTTTTTTTTAGTATTAATAACATTGATCTTTTAAACTAGACAATTCACTATCCTCAAGTATCTACCTTATAATTCTCTACATGACAAATTCAAAATAGAAGCATTGTGAGTGAACTCAGAAAACAAAACTTGTTCATCATAGTCATGAACTTAGTTTGTTTGCTTTAAACTCCTGGCCAGGAGTATTATTTGGATTTTCAATGAATCATTGCATTTTCACTATATGATCAATAAAGCCCTGAATCACTTACCCTGGGCCATATATTCCATAATTTTAGTAGAAGACTCAATGCTCATTACAACCATGCTAACAGTTTGCTTGATGTCCAGATTTAAAGATTAATGCATTAATTTTGATGGTTTTATATAGCTCCATCCCCTATGCCCCAGAGGAAGCAGGGACCATGAAATTTGCTATTTTTGTTCCCATTCACCCACATATGCTGCATTTATTTATGCCAAAATTGGTCAATATGAGTTCAACTGTTTTAGAGAAACTGAAAATGTTCAAATTTTACAAGACAATGCACAGTGAATGATGATGGACAAAACAGATAGCAATAAGTCATGACTGACTCAGGTTACTTTTAAATTAGTTTTAAAAAACATTTTTTTTTGTGATTATGTGAGATCAGGTGAGCTAATACAAAATATTGCTTATCACTGATATAAATGACAACAGTTAAATTTTAGACATAACCATGTGTCTGACAATTCTATATAATAATAAAACTTACCCTCAGCATAAATCTTTCAAAGTTTGGCATGGACCTATTTGTTTTTGTGTCTGTTTGAAGTATATACATGTACTTCTTGTCCTTGGGGTAAAAAAAAATATATGTTAAAAAAAACTGCATTTCAGACTTGTAAAGCAAAACAAACAAGATGAAAAATTACTTATTTTACTGATAACATTTAACATTTTCTTTTCTTGATTGAAATGTATAATGCACATCATTACCATGATTATATGATATGTAATTGCAAGTTTAAAAGCAATGGGATCAGAAAATCTGCCGTGATTTCTTTTTTAAGAGTATTACCATAATGCTAGTAAAACTATCAGAATCTGTTTTGAAGTCCAGTCATGGCATTTAGGTGTTTACATAGGAGATACATATGAGCTTCAGCTACCATCTTGGAGTGTACATTTGAAATCACAAAAAATCACAATCTCAAAATATATTATTAATATTCATAAGGATGAAAAAGGCAAAGACATCTGAAAAATAAGTGTTTCACCCTAATATTGCCCTAAAAGATATTAATTTCCTCTACATGCTCTATGAAGAAATACATGAGGTGGGTGAAACTTTTCCATCGAGGGTTTTATTTGCATCTTATTGGTAGGCTAAAAAATACATTTACAATGAATACCTGTTATAACAGTATGTTTTAATCCTCACCTGCATTTTGATATAAAGTGCCAGTGTTGATTCACTCCTGGGCTGTGGTGCTTTGTCAACATTTTCTTAATTATTTGGTAAACTAAGTCTACATTGTTATACACTGAAATAAAAGAAACACACCCGTTAGTTTACATGCAACACAATCTGAAATATAAAGTAATTGAATAACTGTTGATGTTATGTATTCCTCGATCACCGTTATAGGGCCAGTGGTTCTGGAGAAGAAATCGGAAATGTGAAAAGTTTACAGACAGACGGACAGCTAGACAGACAGACTACAGACAAAATGTGATCAGAAAAGCTTGCTTGAGCTTTCAGCTCAGGTGAGCTAAAAACAGATGGCAATAGGTCATGACTGACTCAGGTAACCTAATTAGTTAAAACATTTTTTTGTGTGATTACATGTAAGTCAGCCCAGGTGCAAATATTGCTTATCATAGATATAAATACAACAGTAAAATTTTAGACATAACCATATGTCTGACAATTAAATTCTATATAATACATGTAGATCTAATAATAGAACTTACCCTCAGCATAAATCTTTCATAGCTTGGCATGGACCTATATGTTTTTGTGTCTGTTCGAAGTGTATACTTTTTGTCCTTGAGGTAAAAAAAAAATTGCATTTCAGACTTGTAAAGCAAAACAAACAAGATGAAAAATTACTTATTTTACTGATAACATTTAACATTTTCTCCTCTTGTGATTGAAATGTAATGCACATCATTACATGATATATGTAATTACAATAAGAGTATTACCATAATGCTGGTTTAACTTTCAGAATCTGTTTTTGAAGTCCAGACTTGGCATTTAGGTGTTTACAAAGGAGATGTCATGCAGAGCTTCAGCCACCATCCTGGAGTGCATGTACATTTAAAATCACATAAAAAAAATCACAATCTCATTAAAATACATTATTTTTATTCATAAGGACTGTATGAAAAAGACATCTGAAAAATAAGTGTTACACCCTAATTGCCCTAAAAGATAATTTATATTTCCTCTACATGTTTTGTAAAGAAATACATTTGGGTGGGTGGAACTTTTTCCATCAAGGGTTTTATTTGCATCTTATTGGTAGGCTAAAAAAAATCAGCTACAATAAATATTTTTATAGGCCTAACAGAATGTTTTAAACCTCACCTGAATTTTGATATAGTGTGCCAGTGTTGATTCACACCTGGGCTTGGGTGCTGACCAAGACAGCTGACTGCGTCAATATTTTCTTACTTAGTTTACATTACGTTATACACTAAAATAAAAGAAACACGCCTGTTAGTTTACATGCAACACAGTCTGAAATATAAAGTAATTAAATAAGTGTTGATGTTATATATTCCTCACCGTTATCCTAGAGACACTGTCTTGCAGACGTCAGACTTCTTACCAGTGACGTCACCCGTAACGTAAATAATAATTGGAGGTGAAAATTCCGGAAAGTATATTTTGCATATTTTAGTGTTATACGGACGCTACCTACTGTATAATTATCTAATATCTATTTATGTGAATTCCATTTGAGTTTGTTGTGAAATTATCGAGATTTTCTTCTTCTTTTTTTAATTCAGCTTTTGCTCCTGAATTCGGAATGATTATATCTACCGATGATCGAGTTCAATTTTACGTGCCTCTACCGATATCCGGTATACACATTACGAGATTGGTGTACTTGTAGTTGTTTGTAGACTATGTTTTACTGCTCTAAGAGTAAACTATACATCAATGCGAACTGATTACTCCATGACAGACATGCAAGTGGACGTAAGGTAAACAATGTGAAATAAATTGGAACATTAAATACGCAAAACACGCACAACAAGTCAACAACGCACACACCTGTGAGCTTTCAGAGGTGACTGGGTTTTAATCATAGATCATGATATGATATTATACGCAAGTCCCAGCAACAATTAAACTTTTAGGGATTTTTTTCACTTATTGACTAAAATTCAGTACTAATTTTACTAATTAATTAAACGAAATTGAAATTAAAAATAAATAAAAAGGATTGAATTTAATTATAGTTGACCTACATTTATTGTACATGTATGTAAAAGTACCATTAATATAGAAAATATACAGCCTTCTCAAACACAGCTAGCTTTTCACACACATGTAAAACAATTTTTATTAACATACATGTAACGTAGCTGATAATACTCATACTTGTCATTAACGTTCATGTAATGTGTGGTTTATAATACATGTAAACCATGCATATATTAATGTATGTGTAAAATGTGGTTGATAATAAATGTAAACCATGTGTGTGAAATATGTGTAATGTATGGTTTATAATACACATATAAACAATGCATTTAAAAACGTATGTGTAACGTATGGTTGACAATACATATGTAAACCACGCGTTCATTTACGTACGTTTAACATGTGGTTGACAATACACATGTAAACCATGCGTTTATAAACGTACGTGTAACGTATGGTAGCATATACCATATGTTACACGTACGTGAAACGTACGTAACACATACGTGTACTCCAACCGCATGTTTCACGTACGTTATGTGAAACGTATGTTGTCACACGCATTTTATCCATACGTTGTACCACGTACGTGAAACGTGCACTTGGAATACACATATGTGTTACGTATGTTTCACATACGTGTAACATATGGTATGTGCTACCATACGTTACACGTACGTGGCACAATTAGCTGTGTATTAGGCCTATTTGAACCAAACTTGCTTGGATGATGCATCAAGGGAGAAATACTCTTAAACTTGCTTCAGAGACTTGATTTGACTTACATTTACTGGATGATAGACTAGATAAAAGTTTCTAGACAAGACCATTCCAAAGTAATTGCAAGCCATATCAGACTAAATCTGAAAAAATTATAAATGATGCATCTAGGGATGCACACTACTAGATAATTAGTTTAGCGTGGGACTTTGCCTTAATTAAAGACAACATTCGTTGTGGTGGATCTGTAATCTTTGATTTATATTTTACCCGAGAGAGACAATTGACAGATAAGGTTCAACAACCTCGTTTAAATTCAGTATTTCTTGAATAATATGTTCGCTATAATGAGCTTGTTAGCTAGTATAACTGATCAGTGGGCCGTATTTCGGCTGACGCGTTTCATACAAATTTTTAGGCCTTTGCTTTTATACTGAATTTGACTATGGAATATTCCGTTTACTTAATTAAGACTTAATTAATACATAGGGCTCAAGGCGAGTGTGACCAATCGACAGAGTATGGTTATTCCTCCTAGGCACCTGATCCCACCTCTGGAATTTCCGTGTTTTTGCCCTGTTCACAGATTCGTATTGTTTTTATTTTTATTTTCTTTTTACACCTATCACTGTTAGTTATCTTTACTTTTTTCATTCTGAGGAAGTTGTGAACCAAACATTTTCAATCCTAAAGTTTTAGTTTTGGTTTTGGGTTTGTGTCTTCCATTTTCATATCGTAGATTTAATTTGCTACAAAAATTTCACACCAATACATGTAACATGTTTTATATTCATTATTTTAGTATGCATACTGAGAGGAGGCTTATTATGATCATTTTATTGAGATATTTTTCTTTACACATTTCACAGATGAAACTCTGACATTCAGTTAATTTTTAGATTGTTGAAAGTTTACTCAAAGGTGACAGAAATGTGACTATGTGGCAGAGATCTGACGTTCATTCACTTTTCCAAACCTTTTAGTGAAGATTCAATTCGGTCATTCTGTGCTTATTTCTTTAAAAAAAAAACAACAAACAAACAAACAAACGTTTTCTGCAGCAGGTGTTTCAGAAATAATGTCTTGAGCTAAAACTGACTTCACATGCGTTTTGTACTACATTAAAGTATTATCATTGATAATTGTCATTATCATTATCTTGAACTTCTCTTATAAAATAAAGTTCTTTTTATTTGATACTAGATTTATTTATTTATTTCATTATAAGAGTTTGATAAAAATTGTTTAATTTGATTATTGTCATGCTGTACTTTTAAGTTTTGGGAGATCTAAAATTATATGTACAGTGCTACCTCGTTATTTTGCCAACTTTTGTCCAAGACAGATTTTGGCATTAAAGCGAGGGTGGCAATATAACGAATTCTGCCATAAATTACAATTCAGTTGGTTATTAAAACAAAATAAATATACAGTCCCTGAAACGTTCTACTTTCCCACTTGAACGGTGAGCGAACGCTGAACGAACGGTGAACGAACGCAGAGCGAACGGTGAGTGAACGATATGTGAACGCTGAACGCAACTTGGTGAACGATGTGTGAACGCTGAACGGTGAGCGAACGCAGAACGCGAACGGAGCGCAAACGCGAACGCAAAGTGAACGCTGAACGAACGGTGAACGCAAGATGAACGATATATTCGGAATGCCTCTGATCTTTTCCTTGCATTGAAACTATTTTATTGTTTTATAATGTCAGTGCAAAAAATAAATATTAAATAAATAAATAAGTAAGCAAATAAATGAATGAATAAATAAGTCAATAAAATAAATTCTCCAAAATTGTCCTAAGAAAGATGATGCATGCACATTAAGTTTTTAATCACACGATTTTTATTGCATTAAAACATTGCAAATGTTGCCGAACGCTGAAGTATAAACTTCTGACTTATAGAATGAATTAAAGCGGTTGTAACATCCATTCATATATCTCCGTGTCAGGGCGATTTCGTGTAAAGTAATGGAAAAAAAAATAATTACAAAGGTCAGTGGACGTTTTGCATTTATACGCTCGTATTTTAAATTTTTAATACAATAATATATTATGTGTCATTTTTATTTTTCATGATGATTTATTGAGCAGACTTCTACATGTATATCTAGATGGCCGTGGTTATACTCGGACAAGATAATACAAAGATACATATTCATATTATTTGTTATAAATTCAATTTTCAGAACTTGATATTTAAGTAATATGCTGTTATAGTTTTTATTAAACAGACAAATGAGAGAGAGAGAGAGAGATTCCGTTTTAGCCCCCCTCCTTTCAGGCTTCACTAAATGTTTGTACCCATATCAAACAAAAACTCATAATTTTTTTTCTAAGTACATCAGACAGTGAAAGTAACTTTTTTTTTTTATCAACAAATCATATCCATTTGTTTGACAGTCATACTCGTTTTTATTTTCCTGCTTCAAGTTCACACGAAGTCCACGTGCTTGTCCTGTCAATCAAAATCATTCGACACTGTGCAGGTGTGAAAGTTTCGTCACATCGAAGACTAAGTGCGAGTATTTCCAACAAGTTATAACATTTATTTTTATCATTTCTAGATTTGATCCCAACATTTGAATAATAAATGAATAAAATACATTGGGCATTAACACTTGAATTTGAAACATACTCTCCGCCAATTTCAAATACCACCGCCGACACGTGTACATTTTGAACTACTATTGTTTTGTGACTTTTTTAGATGCATGTTTGTTTTGAGACTGACATTTTTGTTCTAAAAAAGACCTTACATTTTTTTTTTTTTAAATGTTAATTAAAATATTCTGGAAATACAGTACTGACTAAGTAACCAATCTAGGGGGAAAATGGGGGGGGGGGGTATTAATCATATCGAATGGCAAACCTATAAAGTCACGGTGAAGAAAGAATTTTTTCTCTATAACTATAGACTTTACATATTATAGAAGAGAAAATTCTGCAGTGCAGTACATTTCAAATAAATATTTCCTTTAACCATACTATCAATTTAATTCGCTCCAAAGATAATAAATTAACAGGAAATGCGCAGTACTATGTATAACTCTCAGAACTAGTTCTATCATATTTTCTGTAGTAATTGGGGAAAAAAGTGTTAGAAATAAGTATTT